GACTTTGTGGGGGAATACCTGAGCTTCACCTACCAATATGCAGAACTAATGACTCCAAAAGAAGTAGAAAGCTCTCTCTTCGTGTTGTTCTGGCGATTTCACTATCATCCACTGTTGCAGGTCTGGCTCTGGTGTCATTCGTCTTGTTCTATTGTTGTAAAAAGAAGAGASATAAACCATCAGAATCAACATTGACTGAATCTTTTGAGAAGATTTCATATGCAAGGCTTTTCAAAGCGACCGAAGAGTTCTCTGCAGCAAATCTGATCGGTACAGGAGGTTTTGCTTCGGTTTATAAAGGAGTTCTTGATGAAAATGGTTTGACAGTGGCTATCAAAGTACTAAACCTCCAAAGCCGAGGAGGTTCCAGGAGTTTCATGGCTGAATGCGAAGCCTTGAGAAATATTCGTCATCGCAATCTGGTGAAGGTTATCACTTCTTGCTCGAGTCTCGATTTCCAAGGAAATGATTTCAAGGCCTTAGTGTACGATTTCATGCCAAATGGGAGTCTTGAGACTTGGTTGCACACAAGCACGACACTAGACCATTTGCCTCATGATCAGTTGCATCAACTTGATCTTGTTCAAAGAATAAGCATTGCCAAAGATGTGGCTTGTGCTCTTGATTATCTACATTATCATTGTGGAAATGTTGTCGTTCATCGTGATTTGAAGCCAAGCAACATTTTATTGGATGCTGACATGGTTGCTCATGTTGGAGATTTCGGGCTCGCAAAAATCCTTTACCTTGACGAACTTTCTGATGCAAACAATGGTAGCTCAAGTCATGTCAGAGGAACCATTGGATATGCACCTCCAGGTAAATTGTTGATAACTAGTCCAATGACTCCAATTGATTTTTTTTTATGTTATAATCTCTATTTTACTACGTGAATAATTCTATGTAAGTTGCAGAATACGGAGTCGGAAATGAAGTCTCGACCAGTGGAGACATATATAGCTACGGGATACTATTGTTAGAGATGTTGACAGGGAAAAAGCCCATTGATCCAATGTTCGTTGAAGGCCTTAGCCTGCATTCCTATGCCACAAGTGCCTTGGCTGGTGGTTTTGTGCTTCAGATTGTGGATCCAATGCTTCTACGTGATGAAGTCAAAGAAAGGTGTTTGATTTYATTAGTGGAAATTGGAGTGAGATGCTCTTCTGAGTCTCCAAAAGATCGAATGGATATTGGTACCGTTATCCATGAGCTCTTCTCAAACCTCCACCCATAAATGTAAAGCTATAAATGTGTCTGAATCTAAATAAATGTTTGTTTCTTATCTCTAAGATGATATGTGGTAGACTGATGGTAGCATGTATTGAATAAACAAATAAAGTAATCATATATTATATTTTCATAATCATATTTAAGGGGAAGACAGGGCAAAATTCTGAGCAAAAATGTCTATATGGTGACCTTTGACTCTGATACCATGTGAGAATGTGGAACCCTATTAAATTAATATCCAAAAGGGCCATATGGGATAGAAGTGGATTCCAACATATATTGAAGAGAAAGTGTCCAAGCCCTAACCAGTGTGTAACACTTAAAACACATATTAAAAGATAATAAAAGAATACACCTAATCGACATGTCTAGTTGTCCRCTCAACAAACGGGACGGACCCCAAATGTTAATGTGGTGTGCACTAATCCAAAATTCTAAGCAAAAGTCGTAACATCCTCCGCACCACGTTACCAATAACCAAAATAAACACAAGTTAAAAGAAAAGCAGCCACACCAGTTACTTTAAACAAAACAGAAGGGGAAGTATAAAAACACACAGTGAGTCATCCTGTTACCAGGCTGCAGGTCTGCACGGTCTTCCTTCTGCTTCCCTAATCTCTTTGTTGTTTGATGGTTTCTGCTCTTTTTTTTTCCCGTTGGATAGGGTCTGCAATCAGCTTTGCCTTTCCCTAAACCTCCTCTAGTGCATCATAACCAGGACAGTTCGTCCACCRTCCCTGCTGTTACTGTCCATTGGGAAGGCCATTCCCCTGCACCATGTTGAACTAGATCACAAACAGAGTAATCCACATCATTTTTGTGTCCCTGTTACACGAGACTTGCTTTTTAATGGTAGACAGATTAGGATAACTGCATATCTCATTTCTCACTGAACAATGTGAAAAAGGCCCAAAAACAGTACTATTAATTGCCAAAACARTACCATTTTTCATTCTGTACTAAATAATTCAGTATCTGCCAGACATTGTATTAAAAATTAATGTTGCACATTGCTTTCTCAAGATTGACCTTTGTACTTCATGTTATCAGGATACTTGCTTGAGCAGTTGCTTAATTGTGTAGYAGAAAATGTACAAGGTGTTATTTTCTTCTGCAGATGGTGAGTTGAATATTATTAGTTGCTATTTACTCCCAATTCTTT